GTTATCAATCATGTATAAATCTGAGATATTTTCTATTGATATGAAAAACAACTTGTTCACTTGAAGATTTAGAGCACGACACGTTGAATATATTTTCTTTTGACATCTTGATGACTTGGTTGTTTGTGCCTTATGCTGCTGTCTCAATGATATATAAATATATTCAATGACTCATTTTTTTTTTTGCAAAGACAGAGTTTGCATAGCCAGAGTTTCGGAAGCAAAGATAAGATAGTAATGTAACAACGTATACAGTCTCTAACTTGTATAATTTCATATCCTCTAGAGTCCATTTTTCTGACTCATTAAAATGGCTTAACTCGGATTTGTATTTTCACAAAAAGGAATTGAACATTTTTGCGCCTGTCCCAAAAAAGTAAAATCACAAAAATACTAAACTCCGAGGAAAACTCAATTCGGAAAGTCCCCAATCAAATGGCAAAATCAAAAGCTCAAACACACCAAACAAATGGACAACAACTGTCATATTCCTAACTTGGTACAGGCATTTTCTTATGTAGAAAATGGTGGATTAAACCTGGTTTTATAGCTAGCTAATCCTCTCACTTGTATGACAGTCGCATAAAATTCCATTATATTGACAACGATGACAAGTCAGGAGCCTCTGGCCTTTGTTAGTCTTGTATGTTTTTTTTTTATTTTAGTTCATTGATAAATATGTTTTGGAGTTTCGTATGACGTCCATTTTCAATAAACTAGTACACATTTTTATTTAGGGGCCAGCTGATGCCAATCTCCGGGTGCGGAATTTTCTCGCTGCGTTGAAGACCCATTGGTGGCCTTCGGCTGTTATCTGCTCTTTGGTCGGGTTGTTGTCTCTTTGATACATTCCCTATTTCCATTCTCAATTTTATAAGACTAACTTTTCATAATGGGTAATAATGCTGCAATAATGTATGGCGTTATTTCAAATCTAACTGAAATATCCAGGAAATGTACTGTCAAGAACTAATTTGAGATATAAGTAGTTTAGTTTGAATTACCCTTTAATGCTTATTGGCATAACTGTGAAGTTTTACACTTAACCTCCCCAACTGTCTTCATGTATAGGGGAGGGTTGAGACATAAGAAACATGTTTAACCCCATCGCATTTATGCGCCTGTCCCAAGTCAGGAGCCTCTAGTCTGTTCTAGTTTTGTGTGTTTTTTTTAATTGTTATGTCTTTCGCAGACTAGTGTGGCGTCCATTTCGCTAGTATACATTATTGTGTAGGGCCAGCTGATGACTGCCTCCAGGAACGGGACTTTCTCGCTGTGGTGGCCTTGGGCTGTGATCTGTTCTTTGGTCGGGTTATTGTCTCTTTGATCACATTCCCCATTTCCATTGATTTTAATAATCAGTCAAACATGTCATTGGAAATATAAGGGGAAACTACGATTCTTCTGTGATGTTGTACTAATCAGTCAAACATGTCATTCGAAATGTAAGGTGAAACTACGATTCTCCTGTGATGTTTTGCTAGTTAGTCAAACATGTCATTGGAAATATAAGGACAAACTACGATTCTCTTGTGATGTTTTGCTAGTTAGGTAAACATGTCACGATATACTCTTTGTGAGATTAGGATTCTCCTTTGAAGTATAACCAGTAACTTAAACATGTCATTGTTTACCTTTACTGATTCCAATGTAGTATTTTACATATCAGTTAAACATGTTATGTATTCATTTTATTGAAGCTAATATTCTCATGTGATGTTTTACATATCAGTTAAACATGTCATGGTTTATCTTTCGTGCATGTTTTTCCAATCAGTTAAACATTAATGGTATACACTACTGTACCTTTAGTGAAACAAGAATTCTCCGGAAATGATTTACAAGTCAGTTGAACAATGTGACACATTACAAAACAACAGAATACAATACAATACACTAATTTTATTGACTAATAAAAATTTTTCTCATGGGGCAGAATAGTTACAGTTAAATTATTGCTACAAGACAAAACATACAACACTTAACATGAACTAAATGATTAGTAGTTTAAACATTCAACTTATATACATTAATTCAAGAAAAAAAAATAGCATATAATATACTGAGGAAAAAATCATTACAAAACCCAGTAATATGGATTCCACTTGGAACACAAAAAAATCATATATTTATGAAAGGGGAAAGCGCTTAAGTCAATTATTTATAAGTGTATCTCTTTCTTCGGACAATCGTTTTAAAAGTTTATGAATTTTATATATATAATCTGTGTCTTGTTTTTCTCAAGGTCAAATTATTTTTTTTATCAAAAGGTTAACTAAATATTATTTAGTTGGTCAAAGTATGGTTTGCATACTGTTGTTAAGCATAGGCATTGAATAAAAAAAAATCTTTCACTAATATTCAAGTTACAATATTTTCATTTCTGAACGTTGAGGTTATGTAAGTTTACTCTAAATTAAGTTAACAATCTTTTTTCATTTGCAGTACCACATCTTAAACAATTTTCCAATTTGAAATTTTTTTTAAATTAACGATATGTCATTGTATTCTGTAAAATTCTATTTTACTAGTCAATTATTTACCTATATGGAGTTAATTTTTTTTAGAGCGACAGGTCATTGTTTTGAAAAAACAACCTTGTCGATACCATGTTGCAATGAAATGAGCCTCAACATTTGCTCAAGGCATAGAATAATTACCTTCGTTTGGTCATTATTTACCCGGATAAAAATGCAAACTACAAAGTACTTAAACATTAAGTCCTTGTGTTGTTGTCATTTTGGTCTTTACTATACATTTTTCAAAATTTTAGGCAGAAACAATCCTTTATTAGGTGGGAATGATTACCATTTACTCTATTAAATGACAAAATATCCCCCATTTTCTATAGGGTAACAGCCACGTTCTTGAAAAGATTGGGGGTAATAAATTATACTTATGTTTTAAGATTAAAATTGCCAGGCTTTGAACATAATGAAAAATGGTTGAAAAAATTGTCTGCTTTTCCGTGATCGACAAAACTGTCGTGAAACAAAAAAATAAAATAGATATAGCATATATGATATATTACTTACAAAGGGGCTTTTTGCGATTACTGTTATATTTATATTGTGATTGTATAGTGATTTCTAACGTTTATGTCTAGATTAAGTAGTGAGTTTCGTTTCACATTAAAAATGAGCCGTAGGGCGTGTTTATACCTAAACGCTTCAGAAATGAATACCCCGTTTCAATGTGATCGGTAAAATAGGATACTTTCCTGAAAACCTTTGCAGAAAATTATATTTTTTGACGATATAAACGTCAGAAAATGCATATTTTAAGGGTTTTCTTGTCGTATAATAATCTCATTGTGTCAGGATTGCCCAATGAAAGACCTTCCTACGGTTGGCCTTTCATTTGATCAATCTTGACACCCTCGGTGTGTTATACTACAAGAAGAACCTTAAAATATGCATTATCTATAACGTTAACATTTCATGATATACCTTCAGTGAATCAAGGATTTTCTGTGATGTTTACTAGTCAAATACAAATGTCAAGGTCAAAGGTACTTGTGGACAGGACAATATATCTGATATTATAATTTTTTTAATTCCCATTTTTTAGCGTTTTAAGTGGAAATACAGTAGTCATGTGATGTTTGACTAGTCAGTTAAACATGTTTTGTATACCTGAAACATACTTTTTCTTATCAGATTTTATCTATCATTTGAACGTGTCAAGCTTTCGCTTGCTATTTACTAAGATTTTCATGTGATGTTTTACTTGTCGGTTAAACAAAACATAGTATATCTTTGGTGAAACTATGATTCTCCTATGATGCTTTATCAGTCAGTCAAATATGTCATGGTATATCCTTAGTGAAATTATGAATCTTTTGTGGTGTTTTTTTATAGCTATCAAAGGTACCAGGTATATAATTTGATACGCCAGACGCGCGTTTTACTATTCAGGTAAACGTGTCATGGTATACCCTTAGTGAAACTATTATTCTTAGGTGATGTTTTATTATACTGTTAAACATGTCAAGGTATTTCCTAATTCAAACTAGGATTCCTCTGTGATGTTTTAACAGTCTATTAGATTTGTCCTCAATATTCCCCCCAGACAAAGTTAGAATTATCCGTAATAATTAACAGTTAGTTAAACATGTAAGAGTATACCTTTGAACTAGCTTTCAGTAACTGTGGGTACTCTCAGATCTGTACTTAGTTTCTTTTTGGTTGTTTGGATGTATAAATACCCTGCCAGGTCCGGTCTATGTTTTTTAGGTATCTTTTTGCTTAATATCGATCTCTTTTCAAATGATTTTATAGTTTGCTTTTGTGTTGAACTGCTACACCACTATCCCATGTTAGGAATGCATATCCCTCATGTTTGATTCCTTGCCTGGCTTTGGCTATTTTTTTCGTCCTTTTTGGTTTATAGCATTTCATCCTTTTAGTAAGCTTTGGATTTTCAAATGTTTTGGCCTCGAGCATCACTGAAGAAACATTGATGTCGAAATGCGCATCTGTTGCAGAAAAATTGGTACCGTTTATGTTATTAGGAGGAGTTAAGCACCTTCAAACTAGTTTAACCAACCCAATTCTGTATGTGTCTATCCCAAGTGGGGAGCCTGTAATTCAAGGTTTGTTTTTTGTTGCTATATAGCATATTTGTTTTACGGTCATTGTTTTGTACATAAATCAGGCCGTTTGAATTCTACATTTGTCATTACGGGACCTTTTATAGCTGACTATGCAGTGTGGGTTTTACTCATTTTTTGAAGGCCGTGATCCATAAATGTTTACTTTTATTTTATTTGGCCTCTGTAGGAGAGCTGTCTCATTGGTAATCACACCACATCTTTTTATTTTTATACTTAAAGTGATATTAGGATTTTCATGTCATATGTTACCAGTCAGAATAACATGTCCAGGTATGAATGTACATAAATCAGGCCGTTTGAATTCTACATTTGTCATTACAGGAAACTATTGCTTCCCTGAGATGTTTTGTTGCAAGATAAACATATCGTTGTACACCTTTAATGAAAACAAACTCATCATAGATACCAGGATTGAAACTTAGTTCTATTTTCTTTTACATGTCAGTTAAACATGGCATGGTATGCATTAGATAGACAAGGATGCTTCTGTAATGCTTAACCAGCCAGTTATACATACCTATGTATAGCTTTATTGAAACTATTATTCTCAAGAAATGTTTTACTAGTCAAGTTAATATATTGTTAGCTTTTTTTGTGGGAGGGATTGTAAGTGGCACTATCATACAGCTATTCCCGTAAGTGTTTCTATGTAATTATTACTGTAACCAATCAGGAGCACTTGTTTGACACTTCAGATTTTACTCCTGCGTATCGCACATTATAATTGAAAGATTTATTTGGTCATTGTAAGTATAATACTGAGATAATATGTATAATTAGACAACCTGCTTGCATTAGGATATGGAACTCTCTTTTTCTTCTAGGAATATATATAACAGAAAAACATATACAATGAATAAAAAAATAGGTACATGTTGTATGTAACGAAAAATTTAAATAAAATAAAGACATGATGCCTATTTCTGAGTATAAAAATCCTGATTCCATCGTCAGTGTACCATATGTACCATTATTGCTTGTAATATTTGGGTCAGTAAGACATTGTACTTCGAAATCAACACCATGCTTATAAGTAATATTATTGGATAAATGTGTACAAGAAATATTTACAGAACGAAATTCTGTACAATTTGAAGCTGTTATGTTCAGGATATTTAAATTACTAATGGAATCAAAATTGTTGGAGTGTAGGTCACTAGTGTATATGATAGACGTGACATAGAAAAATGCTAAACTACCAAAGCTTAGAAAGGAGATTGCCAGTACAAAAACTATACTGCTTCTGTCCAAACTTATAATAGATATTTTGAAAAGTGAGAACATTTGATTTATTATCAAACTCACTAAAATAGCTAAAAGCATTGCATACATCAAACTGTATATGATTTGAATGCATACAAATGCACCCACTAATATGCTAGAACCACAAATTATTGATACGGAAAAAAACCAAATACTTTGTCGGAGGAAATATGAATCTCTAATGTAAAAAGGTTTCGATAATAACCACAATAGTAAAATAGTGAGTATTATAACGTTTATGCTTCTCGTCACCTGCACCAAGGTAATATTACCATACTCGGCACATTGTCTAACGCAAAATACTGCAGTTTGACTTTCCTTTACAATAACGAAGGCAAAATATATTGATAGGCCAAAAGTCACTGCCATTAATAAGATCATTGATAAAGCAAATACATTAAAAGTTATCTTAATTGATTTTTCATATCTTGCACTATTGTTTATGTATTTGACTGTGCCACAAGTGCTTTTGATTAACTCTAATGCTGAAGTGCCACTATCATTAAAAAGATAAGGATTGGCCCCATTCTCTAGCAATGTTTTTATACCATTACTGCTTTCCTCTTTTGAAATGCATCTGTTTATAACAGAATGCAAGGGTGTATTACCTTCGTAGTCTGGCTCATTTACAAAATCACTCCAAATTCTTCTGTAAGAAGTGTTTAGAATTATATTAAAACACATGGTCCTTAAAGCTGACATCGGCGTTTTTTCATACTCTTTCTCCTCCTCGGTGTGTCGATTAGTCTTTAAACACTGGTCCTGGGAGGTATGAGTAAGCATTAATTTTGTTGCGCTTTCACTAATTGTGTAATGTAAAGGGGTTCTATAGAAACAATCATGAACCTTTACCTCAGTTTTCTTATGAAGCAGAAAAGACAGTATCTCGATATTATTGTTTACAACTGCTAGATGGACAGCAGTAAGTCCGTTCTTGTCAACTATGCTTACTTTCAATGTCGGCTCTATGTACACTTCTCTGCTGTCAGCTTGCGTAATTTCAACATAGGGATCATCGATTTAGGGCAATTCTTCATGGAATAACACCTTCACAGCATGTAAGTTATTTAATAATACAGCGTAATGTAAGACTGTCCATCCGCTATCTGTTCTAGAATTAATATTTTCTGATCGAATATTTGTTCTCAATTTTTTTAAGTCGTTATGTCAGACAGCTACATGAAGCTCGGTCTGGTTTAAATCATATTCAAGAATTATACTAGTTAATTCCTGTTTGTTTGAAGTAACCACAATTGGGACATTCAATTGTACCAATCCTCGTAGGTTTACCTGTGCTCCACTTCTCACCAGTAAGCGTGCCATATCATAGTTACACGATTTAATTGCTAAATATAAAGGTGTTTCCCAAAACTCGGAAAGCAGTTAACATCTGCACCAGAACAAATCAGGTCTTTTACAATATTTAAGTTACCTCCCAGAATAGCTAGAGGAAAGAAGGACTTAACATCAGGTAGTAATGTATAATCTTTACCAAGAATCCAATTACAATCTTTAGTTGTCATCTCATGCCATGCATATTGAAAGAGGTCATAGCAGCCAAAGGCCACAACCCAGTACAGAAGTGTACTTCTGAAAGGTAAAGCATCTATAACTCGACTAATAGCATCTTTTCTATTTTGTAATTCAACATTTGAAAGAATCTTTAAAATATTTTTAAATACGGACGAATCGCAGCTCCTTACCCGCTCGGAACTAACGGTTTCAAAAAAAGTCTTTTGTAAGCTCATCTTGTTTTCAAATTTGGTTCCAAATATCCAAACAAAAGTTTTATTTTTAAAGATGTGGCTCATCAACACTGGAAAATTTTCAACATGTTAACTCATCCCCCAATCTATTATATAACGGTTGAAGATGATCTTCATTCAATTCATCTTCCCGAATAATCACAATATTTTCAGCGACATTTTTATGCATGTCTTCATTGGAATGAATTCTGACTCGATCTCTTATAAACAGAATATCACAGTATAAAAACATTACTCTTGGAGCAAATTTACAGAAATGTAAGCCGACAGTCTCTTCAAGAGCATCGTGAATAAACCGAAAATCAGTACTGTCTTCAGTGAAATAAGATCCTACAGCAGAAACAGCGGTATCCTCCAGTTCTTTCGTAGACATGTCTGTTTGAAGCCCGCAAGCCTGAATTATTCTTTTTATTTTCTCATCACAGTCAATATCAAATACGCGTCTATTATATGAACCCTTATACAACATACATATTACCAAAATGCAATAAAGCTTCTTATTTTCATTACTAATTTTATCAAGTTCATCCCTGAACAGTGACAATGGCTGCCTAAAGAATTCGATTCTTTTTCTGAATCTTTCAGCATCATTTGAAACTAATTTGCAAAGAAGAGGAAATGCATAACTGGTTTCGCACATTATCTCAAGCTCCTTTGAATTTATTTCCTTTTCTAAGTTATTTGTCTTAAGGTGTTTAATTAATATTTGCTGTTTTTCCTCTTTTGAAAGAGTATAAGACTCTTGCTCTAAATTAATGACTTTTTTGTTTAGAATGGTCGATGCATTTTCAAATCTTTTATTGAGTGCTATAAGTGATCTCAGTGTACACAATACTTTGTGTGAACCTGATTCTTTCTTCAGGCAGCTAATCAGTTTTTCATTTGTTCTTTCCCACTTTTCCAACAAGTTCGGATTTAAACCGTGTTTTCCAAGGACATCATCAATAAGAAATACTTGTTTTTTAATTGTTTTGTATTTGATCACATCCTCTGGGTACTCTATGGAAACAATTTCAAATCCTTCATATTGTAGTTTTAATGCAATATGTCGGATGGTTGCTGTCTTTCCTAATGTTGAATTTGATGTCACCAAAATACAGCCAAATTGCTTTACTGTTTCATAAACCAAATCTGATCCTGTTGTGTCATAAAAACTTTCGTCATCTTTCTTCCATGTTTCAACCAAACTTGCATTCGCATCTGTAAACATTCATATATAATCATTATAATTGTCAATGAAATGTTGAACAGATACTCCAATTAAGGATATTGTCAACATTATTTAGGTTATAAAACGTGAAATAACAAAACAAAACGAACTACGATGAAAATTCTAATCGGAAAGAACGTGCCTAATCAAATGGCAAAATCAAATACTCAGCATGCTGCATCCTATAAAACAATTGTACGTGTTATAAAATGTACAATGCAAAAATACAAGTTATGAAAGAGGGGCGAAAGATACCAGAGGGACAGTCAGACTCATAGATCGAAAATAAACTGACAACGCCATGGCAAAAAAAAGAAAAGGACAAACAGACAAATAATAGTACAGATGACACAACATAGAAAACTAAAGACTGAGCAACACGAACCCCACCAATAACTTGAGGTGATCTCAGGTGCCCGGGAGGGTAAGTAGATCCTGCTCCACATGTGGCACCCGTCGTGTTGCTCATGTAATTACAAACACGGTAAATAGTCTAATTCGGTAGGTCACATTCGTGAAAAGGGAAGGGGATTGTAGTTACGACATAAGGAACATATCTGATATCATCTGCGAAACGGTTATTCCATAACGGTCAACCAACTCGTGATGGCGTCCGTAAAATTTACGAAGGAATGATTTCAACTTCACCATTTGGAACTCTTGGTTTAATAGCTTACTTGTGAGCAGCAACCCTCTATCAAGGAGATCATGATAGGAAATACAAGCCCGGAAATATCGTATCAATTGGGAGATATATACTCCGTATGCAGGCGCTGCTGGAATGTTGCTACATAGAAATGGAAAGTTCACAATTGGGAAGCTGAAATCATCATTTTTGTCGTAAAGTTTTGTTTTCAACCGACCCTCATTGTCAATTTCTAGATGCAAGTCAAGATATGAGGCAGACTTAACTGTATCTGTTGTATCCTTTATCTCTAGTTCGATGGGATAGATGCGTTCAACATAGTCACCAAATTTTGAATTTTTTAAAGAGAGAACATAATAACATGTACAAAAGTACTCATACATGTCATAACAAAATATTACTTAAAAATAGTTTCAACTTGTACAAAATTTGAAAATAAAGATATACTTTTGTTATTACAACACATGTCATTAACCTCAATAATGTTTTCATTTTTTCTATTGATCATTCATGTAAGTGTGTTTTGTCCTTTTTGATAGAGTTATTGACCATATGAATAGTTTTTATGATTACTTAATACCGTTTGAAACACACATTGCAATCAACAAACATTATTCAGTATTCTCACCTGATGAATTATAATTGTGAGTTTCTACTTTGAAGGCAATTGTACAATACTTTCATACTAGTTTAGAATAAAGATGCAAGAGGATAGCCAGGATTGATTTTACAATGAAATCCTTGATATGTCGAGGAAAGTTTCTCTACAAACAAAACCCTGTTTTGAGAGTAGAGGAGGATAGAAATTTAAAATATCAAAATGACATTCGATTCATGCAATGATCTTATCATTTATCAAAAAATAATAATATGATGAAAAGGATTTACACTAGTTATGGTCAATGCCAAAAATGTTGAAGACCAGATTCAATAATTCCCAAATTATTTATAATTAAGCATGGTCAACTGAAAACCATTTTCTCTTTCTGGCTTTCATAGAGTATGCATAGGAGACCTTGCATGTTAAAAAAAAGAGGGGGATGGGTATAATCCAAAATTTTAAGGCATTGTTCTTAAAACATTTCTGATGAACCAGTTATCTACTTTGTTGTCATTGGGGAAATGTTTGCAAATATTAAGTAGCGCCACACTGCTGTAGGCCATGGTGGACTGCATACAATATACAACGACATGAAATCCAACATAAGCTGTGAAGCATTAAACACATTTCTGAATATTTGTGATCTTTGATCTCTGTGCTCTAAAGGAAAAACCGTTCTGAGCTTTTGATTATTGTTCTTTATTATTCAATAGATTTAAAATGTATATTGTGTTTTATTTAGATTTATTTTCTAATTTTGTACAAGTTAAAACAATTTTTAAGCAATATTTTGTACATGTTACAACATGAACGAGGTACTTTTGTACATGTTATAACATGTATTTTTGAATTGTACAAGTTGTATCATGTACATGTTATAACATGTACAAAATCGCAACATGTACACGACATATATATATATAGATTGCCTTACAATGTAATTTTAACACACTATTTAGTATGTAAATATAAGAATTTTTAAAATATTTACAAAATGATGAAAATAAACGCAATATTTCGCTAGACTAACTAGCTGTATCAAGCGTGCATCTATCCAGGTGAAATCGGATGTAGTTGATAAGAAACTTTTGCAGCTCAATGTATATGTTGCACTTGAATTTAGCTGCCTTAAAAATAATACATAATTTGGATGAAGTTCAAGATGTTTACAAAATTGGTAGTTGAAGTTAGCAACGTCCATTGGCCAATATTACAGGATAAAAAGGACGATGCTGTGTACTAAATTATTCTTTATCTTTCCTGTATCTTTTCTCATCTTTTTCGTTAAGACCATCAGGTTCTAAAGTGTGGAGTTGGTGGATCCAAAAATTTTCTCTTCTCCTTCTCGCCGTGGTGTCCCACTCGGTGTTGACTTCTATGATTTGGAAAGTAACATTATCAAAAGAATTTTTCGTTGAACGAAGATGTCTTGTGAGAGGACAGTTTTTGTTGGTTATGTACCATGAACGATGGTTATTGAGCCGAATATTAAATTTGTCCATTGTTTCTCCCACATACTGATTGCCACAAGTGTCACATGTTAATATATAAATTGAGTTCTCCGTTTTACAGTTGGAATTTGAGTAGATGGTATAATTTTGTTTAGTAACGGAGCTGATCAAAGAACTGCTTGTATTGGCAGCTTTACAACACAAGCAGTTCCTTCGACCACATTGTTTGTAGCAACCGGGAGATGGATTAGGCTGCTTTGCTAATACAGATGTCACTAATTTGTCACGGATGTTTTAGGTCTTCTGAAGGCCATGACTGGTGGTGAGGAAAATACTTTTTTAAGATTTGAATCATTTTCTATAATTTTCCAATGCCTCTGAACAATGGAAGACACATTTTTAAAATCAGGATGGTAAGTGATTACAAGGGGTGTTCTGTTAGCTGCTTTATTCTTATCTTTGTACTCTAGAAGTTCTTGGCGACTAGTTTTGTTTGCTCTATCGAAAGCGCTATCAATGATGTTGTTATTGTATCCTCGAACAACTAGATGTTTACGTAGTTGTCCAAGTCTAGCATTTTGCGTATTTTCAGTAGAGCATATTCTCTTGATTCGCAATGCCTGGCTGAATGGGATGCCACGGGAGCAGTGTTTAGGATGGCAACTTTTAGGAGAAAGGAATTGATGTTTGTCCGTTTGTTTGGTATGAAGGTCCGTTATAATGGTTCCGTTCTTGATGTAACTCGTAGTGTCGAGGAAGTTTATTTTCTCCATAGATGATTCATATGTAAATTTTATTGAATGGTGGAAAGAGTTACAGTGTCCTAGAAATGTAACTAGAATCAGCTTTATGTTTTAATCACGTTGTATTGTTAAGGAAATATTATGCTTCTCAATGATCAAAATTAGTGTTTTCCAAACTGCTATATATCCAATATAATTTTTCCGAGATAGTGTGTGGTTCAAGTTTTTTGAAATTTTTATATTTTTGTCAAAGGGTCAAAGTAAATATTTTGTCAAAATGTTATGAAAATTACACGAGCCATATTAATTTTAGTCAAGGTGTTTGGTACCACCTTAATCAATTTGAAGTCGAAAAAAATGAGTTATTATAAAAATTTGTATGGTGTCATGTAGACGAATACTCACGTTATGAATAGTAGCCCTCAATGGATATACTTCTAGATGTGAAATTAAACTGTTGACACTTAGTTATGTAATGTTGATGGTATGATGCAAATGTTGAAATTAAATTAGCATTAGCTACGAGATATATAAAAAAAATTAAAAGATGATTTTTTTTTGTCCAATCATTAATGAATGAAAGTTTTTTTGTCCAATCATTTATGAAAGTGATGTAGTGAAATAATAATTCACTTTTAGCAGCCAATTTGGTTCAATTGTGTCAGAATAAGCCAAAAAACATCGCTGATGAATTATTCACTTGCAAGTGAATAATTTGACCTCATTGAATCCGTATTCATGTGATTTTTAGTTCAACCCCTCCACTGGAGATGAATTACTCATGTATTCAGCTATTAAAGGAAAAGAATGTTAAAATTGAAAGTGAACAAGGATGAACAATTTGGTTGACTGATTTGATCCACAAAAAAATATTCTAACAAATGTAAAATCGATGATAAAAATACTTTTTAACCTACAACATAAAATAAAACAGACCTAGAAAAACCAATTGCACGTGGTCGCTATTCGTTTATATTCATATTCATGCTTATATCAAATTATATGACCGTCGGCAGTCTTCGGAGGTCATCTCGAATGGTTAATTAGATGATATCTAGACAAAAATACACACGAAATGTTGATACATATTATCGATTCCATGCATTGTTAATTGTTTGTTTTACATTTTTGTAATGATGATATACGTTTTAGTATGTCATCAATCAAATATGAGAATTTGAGTCAAATCAGTGATCATGAATTTGACAGCTTATGCCACTTAAACCATTTAATCTACGTAAAACATTTAAAGTCAATCCACCATGACTAAAGGTGCAAGGAACAAATTACCTTCATGGAAATGAGAAATGCCAATGCTAAAACAACTGCATACAAAACTTATCATAAGAAGTTTCCTAAACACAAACTTTAACCATATGATCAATACAAAATTCAATGAATTAAGATGAGCTGTTAGGGCCAAATATTCTCCATGGAAATGGAACGTACAAATGTTGATACAACTGCAAACCAAATTTCAAAGACTTACCAGTAGTTATTCATCTAAATCTGAACTAATCAAAAACATTAACATCTAAACTATGAAAAATTTCAAAATCAATAGACCATTACTGAGGGAGAGGGTCCAAATAATCTCCATGGAAATGAGATGTGCTATTGCTTATACACCTGCATAGTAATAATCTGTAACCTTCCACAAGTGTTTCCTTTAAAACTCAGCTAATTACCAGTATAAACTTTAACATTTAAACTAAGGAAAAGTCTCAAAGTCAATAGACCATGACTGAAGGGGGATTCACATAATCTTCATGAAAACAGCATATACCAATGTTGATACCACTATATGTATCATTGACTTGCCACTGGTCGTTCCCCTTACTCTGAGATAATTGCAATCTAATACATTAGTGACGTAGCCGCCGTACGCGTAGATGGAAACAGCATGCTTTTCAACATTGCCATATAAACGGGAGGTTTGGCTAGCCATAAAACCAAGTTCAACCCACCCTATTTTTTAAAAATGCCCTGTACCAAGTCAGGAATATGGCAGTTGTTATCTACATTCCGTTTCTATGTATGTTGGCGTTAGCTTTTGTTGTAGTTCAGTGTTTCTGTTGTTCCGTTGTTTTCCTCTTATAATTGCAATTGATGTGTTTCCCTACGTTTTAATTTGTTACCCGGAGTTGTTTTTGCATAATCGAATTATGATTATTGAACATCGGTATACTACTGTTGCTTTTAGTTATGTCTTACCTTTTCGACTTCATTGAGGAGATACAAAATTCAAACTCGCCTAGTGTTTTCATAGTTATGCCTTACAACATTTCAAAATTAAAAAAATAGTTTGTCTGGTTACTGAACAAACAACTGAACACGACCAAACATTTGGTTGTTTGGGTACTTTCAACTTTATAAAAGGCCATAAATGGCAAACAACAAACGTGAAATGTGTCAATCTTAAACCCGACTTGTGTCAACGTCAATGTCAAATATATCGTTTAAAGTCTATTTGCAACGACCAATCGAATTTGGTTAAATGTTTAATGTTTAACATTTTTATATTGTCATACCAGCAAATATAAACTTCAATGTCATTTGGACTCTGTTTATCGTTCTATTACTGGTCTTTTCTCCCTCCCTAATACAGTTTTACGCTTGACGAAAGCAAGCTTGATAACGTCTCCTCACACATTGTGACGTCGCTGATAACTTCTCCTCAGACATTGTGACGTCGCTGATAATGCCTGCTCTCGTCTCAAAGCCGTGATACGAAAATTACAGAGCGACAAGTTGATATAGGCATAGGAAAGGACGATAAGAATAAAAATATAATCGATTGAGGCGTAACAGAGAAGGGCGTGGATATAAGATATTCCCAAGCAAGCAATTTTCATCAAACTTGTACCACTACGTTCACAAAAGTCGCTCAACCGTAAGTTATATACCAAATTTCAAATCCATTGATAAAGGCATTACAGATAATCATAAAAGTTTGAAACAGATATTTTTAATCAAATTTCCGCATTACACGATATCCTGCAATATCACATGATCAGCACGAATTTCGATTTTTATCTGAAACTTTTTATGATATACCAACATGGTAGAATTTAACCAATGAAGTAGTCAATCTGCCGATCACTAGCCATTCAACACTTAATTGACCATTATTGCCACTTTTAAAGCGTCATCCACCAATACAAACTGACCGCAATAGTTAAGCCAAGAGGGTTTAAAGTTTCGTAATTTACCAACAATCAATCAATCAATAAAACCAATTGACCACATGACTGCCATTAACAAACATACCTTTATTTTAGATAGATCTCCAAATTTCCCGCCCTTTTACCAGCTTAGCTGAACCTAACTTTTGCATTTTATTGTTAATTTGATCTCGGTTTGAAAATGCATATAATATTGTTATGCCTAAGGGTAGGAATTAAGTATGGTATTTTTATATGTATCATGTTTCATTTATTTCTTGTGTTGCTCAGAGAGTTCATTTCTACTTTTTTTATTTTCGTGTTTCGCGACTCAGAGCTGCACTGTTGCGTTTCTATACTACTGCAGTCAAAAATATTTGGGATATGACGTATTAATGTACTAGTAGTGTTTTGTACTAAATTTGTCTTTGAAACAATTTTTTTTCCACAGAAAACGCCAATTTTTGATAAAATAACTAAATTAGGAGACTGTTATCGATCCGTGTCTTAAACACTTTTGCGCATGCTCAGTAGACGTACTGCCCGCGAAATACAAAATGACCAGTTTGGCGGTTGCTTGCATATTTGCATATTTGCAAATACAGATTTTTTATTTTCAAAGTATTTTAATGGATTTTTTTTTTGTATTGCTGATAAGATCCTGCAACTTGAGTATGTCAACAGATTTGGAGTATCGTCAACGGTTTCTGAGATACAAGAGGGGTTGATTCCTGATGAAATGTTTTAGATTTTAATTCTCATTGGATTTACTAATCACTGTGTCCACACTCTTTGTTTCAACAATTGCCAAATTGTACAAAATTTCGCGGGCATCTTCCAGTATATTATGAACGAAAGAACTGTAGATATGGCCACTTTTATTTCAGATAGCGCGACCGTATTATATTATATTGTACTGTATGTATAAAATAATGTTCATGGGGAAATATAGTTAGGACAGGGTTCGTTCTCACTTTTTGACCAAAGGGTTACCTTGATATATTGCCAGCTTTAGTTTGACCTGTATATCGCTTGTCTAGGTTTGGCTAGCCACAAAACCAGGTTCAACCCACCATTTTTCCTAAAATGTCCTGTACCAAGTCAGGAAAATGGCCATTGTTATATTATAGTTCGTTTCTGTGTGTGTTGCATTTTAGTGTTAAGTTTCTGTTGTGTCGTTGTTCTCCTCTTATATTTGATGTGTTTCCCTCAGTTTTAGTTTGTAACCCGGATTTGTTTTTTTCTCAATCGATTTATGAATTTCGAATAACGGTATACTAATGTTGCCTTTATGTGTCCCGTTTGCTCACCTGTTTGCTCGATTTACCTTTTCACTAAGGGATAACATTTTTAGTTCCATAAAACCATAACCAGAGCGAACCACCTGTGAACCTTCCAACTCAAAACAATTACCAGTTTAATAATAACCTCGATTCTAAATATATTTAGACCTAGATCATTTACTATGAATACAAAAACTTTCCCCATGTTTACATACGACGATTAACACCCAAGGGTTGGGGGAGTCTCTGTACTGTTATGATTTATGATATATATTGATCTTGATAGCTGATTAAGTAGTTATTGTTAAACTTATAACTGTTTTCTTTTTTATATTTTTTTATCTTATTAAGAATAAGAAACACATTATTAGACTGCTCAGTTAAGCTACCAAGTTACCATGATTGCAGTTTCACAATTACAAGTGAAAGTTATTGATAGGCCTGCTATCAAGGTTGATCCTGTATTTCATGTTAAAATAATTAAATATATACACACACAAAATATTAAGCTTAGTAGTGCTATATCAGAGGAGTAACAATATTTTCAACTCGAAGTTCAGCAAGAAGCTATTATTGATATACTCGTAATAGAAAAAAGTACCGAAAACTTAAGTGTAACGGACTGACTAATGTACGAGTGGACATCAAACATATCAACCCCATTTGGCTTCGCCGTTATGGGACTATAAGGACGAAAGACAATCAATAGTTCACAAAACTCTTTTATTGTTTTGCCTTGAAATGTTTCAAAGTCCTCTTTAATCACGATAGTGTAGTGTTTGTTTGCTTTATCACAGTGACAAAATAACATTAGATAATAAATCAATTAAGCACGCCCTACAGAGACGATCAAAGTAGAGGAAGAAGTTCTTTTACGTTCAGACAGCTTGCCATTCTTTTAACACGTTGCATTGAAATCATCGTTGGTTCCCATTTAGACTAGACTTTGCAGTGTATTTATACATTCCGTACGTCTCCTTTGCATGGTACTTTGGACGTGTTTTATTGATCTCTTTTGTACATCTCCGGAATATCTTCTTGTAAAGAGTCCACAAAAATGAATCTGGATCTTTTTTAGAGATATTCTGACGAATATTTTTATGCCTTTGCCTACCAGTCCACAAAATTAATTTAGCCATTATATTTAAAAGTCAACACATCAGAGGATTCATAAAGTCATAAACTAAACCACACCTTATCCAAATACAATCAACTATATACATATAAGTACAATACAGTCAGGATTCTTCTTCCTGAAGTCAGTCGTCAATCTCTTTTTGTAAAATATTGTTATTCAAACACACCTTCTCTGTAGCTGTGACTCATTAGAAAGGCATTTCACTTGACCCAATATTCTATTTTTAGTACTGTAAATTTTCAATGTTATAATTTCAACCATTAGCCTAAATGTATAAAATTAAAAGATTCTGAAGCAAGATGATGTATCAAATATTTTTGATTTATACGTTTCCAAGACAAAATAGTCAACTCAATCACGTTTGAAAATTTGACTTTCTCTTTTCGATGAAATTATTGCCATTTTTAAGATGATTTCACAAAAACTTTCGCCTGGGGTAGATATTGCTAAGTGGTGCTCTAAAATGATAAAACTTTTATCTTTTTGTGAAATTTTTTCGGCGGAATTCATGCACAAATAAGATCCACATGTATTTGCAACTTCTAAAATCGACTGTTTTGTTTCAGTTTATTCTTTTGATTCAAATGTTTGAAAATATCTCAAAGCTCCATACTATAATTTAAGTAAAAAACACACATATCAGAAGCATAAAATCCTAAATTTTGCACCTACATTCAAGTTATAAAGCCCATAGAAACAGATATAAACAATTAAAATATACAAACTTGGCCTGTTTTGCTTTTTCTAATAAAGAGTTCTATTTCGTTTTTGTTTAATTTCAACTGGAAGTCAGTCTGAATAGAGATAAAAAAAAAAGGGAGTAGCTTAATTAAAAACAGGTATTAAGAAATATGTGACGATTTGCACTGGTTGTATTGATAAAATTGAAACACACCTGCCATATTTTTAGGAAGATGTCCTTCCATGTAGTAAGCTAAATCACTTTCTATCTGTTCTTTTTCCTTTTCACAATCCATGTAGTGTTTCTGTAGTTGCTTCAGTTCTGTGTTTGCTAATGCTTTTGCTTGTTCTCCATCAAGATCGTAATTAAAGATTTCGGTGACCTCATGTGGTCTCTGACCTTTATTCAACGATGTCAATGCCTAAAATGAGAGAAATATACAAGCTCATTTCTAAACAGACATTACTATTTAAACATGTTTTTTACAAAGATTTTGTGTTTTTGATTTAAAAAAAAAACATAAGGTATAATTCAGCTATTCTACTGTTGTTCAGATTGTCATGTATATAATGAAACAATTCTAAGTTTAGATAGTTTACTTGTTTTACGCTATATGACGTCGAGTTTTATACCGCATAAAATAGAATTATCTCTCATAAAAGGACGTATAATAAACCTAACCATCTTTCATACAAAATTACTAAAACTGACTTAAAATTATTCAAATAATTATCAGTTTTATTTGGGATGTCAACTCGGTGATTAGTTACTTATCGAGTTCTCGTTAGATTTACCGAGCTATACTCTAATACTCGCTCGGAAAAACATCTACAAAATGGAAATACAAAATTATACCCATTTTACGTATTGTGGGCAGTTGTGTTATTGACATTATTAAACATTATTACTTAGGACTGGATGATAGTCCCAGAATAATAATAATTTTATACCATAATTAATAGCTCATTCACTACATGCACTAATTATGTATACTGGCAATAGTCTAATCAATTAATTAATAAACATCTATAGAAAAATGTTTACTCAAACAACGGTATTTGTGAATCGTAAACAAAATCGTGTAATGATCAACAATGGGGTGATGATTAGAACTTACTGGTGCCCTTAAGCATTATCTGAGATTCGACATAGGGAAAACCGAATTTGTTCTTATCTAGAAATATTATGTTTTCAACTTTTTCTGGGACGAGTCGATTTCCCGACTTCGTTACATAACTTACAGTCCTGCTGATGAAAATATTTGCTCTGACGGTACAGAGGTGGTGGAATGACTTCGACACGATTAGCTAAAAGTGTAAACCGTGGAGGAAATGGTGTTCTTGTTCGTAGCCTACATCGGTTCGAGGGAATCTTGAACGACAATTAAATGCAAACATTCGAAGTCTATTTTAATTAAGATTAATTATGATTAATATTCAAGTTCCCATTAGTCGCGCTAAGTAAACAATTTTTTTTCTTTACGAAGGCAATGTTCACTATTCTAACAGAAACCGATTAGTCGAGTATCATTTTGGTATTCGATACTCGGTACTATCGAGGGTACTTGAATACTTGAGTACTCGTTGACATCTCTAGTTTTTATATTGATTTGCTCCTGTGTTTGTGTTTACAATTTGAAATAAATTGCATTAAATAATTGTTTTTTTCTTATGACATTGGTTAAAGGGTATTCAATATATAATACAAGTTGCACAATTAACATAAATGTCGTCAGCTTGTTTTGAGAATCCCCCCCCCCCCCTTCCCAATTTGTACTTCACGCAGTGTTTGATAGTCCCGAACCTAAGCTATGAGAATGTTATTATATATCTCTTATTCCCATAACTTAATCTTAAACCATTTGAACATCAGCTGAATCCACCCATGTAATCTAAAACTCGATTTTTTTTTATTTCATAACTATTATTTGAACAAAATGAATAAATGTGCTTTGGTTGCTACTGTGTACCTTTTCAACACGAGTCCATTTGTCGGTGAACTCATTGTTATCCATAGAAGTTACTGTCATATGGGCCACCTGATTTCTGTACCACTTCAGTGTTGCCAATTCCGCTCCCGGCAAGACTTCATTCGGCGGCGGAAGTTGATCCCATCCATTGGAGGGTTTTAATAAACCTCCAAAATTACGCAGCAGACATATCATCATAGTCAGATCAATGTCCTTAGAAGAGGTAACTAGAAAGAAAACGAAGAAAAACGAAAAGATCGAGAAAGTATTTCTTATTTGTCCCATTTTAACACGTCCTTCAACCTTTTGAATAATTGAAGAATCACACCATAAAAACACATAGTTTGAATTCGTATAATTAAAGACTGCAATTTTAAAAGATTTCGGCAAATTCCGAGTATTTAATAAAACAAGAAAGAAAGAGGAAATTCTTTACCAAACAAATATGATTCCGTAACTAACTATTGTTCTACCGATTCATATCCATTCATTTAGGTTCAAGATGACTGTCTTCCGTAGAAAACTTTTACTAACCCTGTAAAATTTTATCAAACTTATTTTTAAACAGCAATGTGAAATAGCAATTGATGTATTATTTGATGGATATATATGGCAAATTGTTGGAAAATCTTTTGAATTTTGACTCGTGATATAACAATTTTAGGTGGAATTGGCAACTAAATAAAACAGTTTTTTTTAGAATATTTGTATATTTTCTTCACTTTAGTTATTAAGTGCGCAACCTTTATATTTATTCGCACATTTTAACTTGTTGATTCAACTTAAAATCGGGTGCGATTTTTTTTTTGTAACCTCTGCGCACAACATGGAAACTTGTGCACATATTTTAGGCGTTTAGAAATAATGCTTTGAGCACATAAACATTATTGGTTAAAGTTTAAACGTTCAAACTTTTTTAAAAATGTGCACAATTTGAATATCTAATATTATGCAACAATATAGTTATGTCCCAAACTTCTTTAATTGTTCGCTTAGTAACTCCAAACAATTGGTTCTAAAGTTAATAAATGCCCACTTTGAAAATGAATAATTAACAAAAACTGAGACTGGATAAATACAAATCTTGCATACACAACTTTTATCAGCAACCCTAGTGCACATGCGTTAAATTGGGCCACAACCGATATCGATAAATTTACCGTATAGATTATCAAAGGCAATCTTCATATTGATCATCTGTCAGTAAATAACATTACACTTCTTTTTCATTCGAATCGATTTTGAAAGTTTAATTTTAAGGCTTTCTATCTATCTAATTTGTTTTTTGATAAGGATTGCACCGAAGTTCGATTTTTTCTTAAAATGTTCTGTACAAAGTCAGGAATATGGCAGTTGTCATCAAATAGTTCGTTTCTATGCATGTTGGTGTTTGTTTGTGTTGCACTTCAGTGTTTCTGTTGTTCTTTTGTTTTTCTCTAATAGATAATGTGTTTCCTTCGGATTAAGTTTGTAACCCAGATATGTGTTCTCTCAATCGATTTATGACTATCCGGAACAGCGGTATACTACTGTTATCTTTATTTGTTCCATTTTCAATTAAAAAACCCCAGGTACAAGACCTATTACGTCATACAATACAAAACCAAAAATGTGTGCAGATGGGTTTTCATACATCAATACACACTAAATCTTTAACAGAAACAACTTCATTTGCATTTATATTTATTCCCGAGTTTTAAATCTATCCAACCATATAAACATATTTTACAATAGTCTTTAGTTTTCTATAATGTGTCTTGTGTACTATTATTTGTCTGTTTGTTTTTTTTCTTTTTTAGCAATGGTATTGTCAGTTTATTTTCGATCTATGAATTTGGATGTCCCTCTGGTATCTTTCGCCCCTCTTTTACAAAATGGTGTGCATCTGTTCCTTAAATCGAGTTGTGATAATTTTCTGAAGATGTACAGATATAATCTTAGTCATACCAGGTAAATAATTAAGGATAATCTTTTAAAACATAGTTTGTTGCTTGTTCGATTCACATTCTCCTTTTATTCACTTAACTTTTAGAAAAATAGAAAGCATGAATTTGTCTGCGATTTTCGAAAGTTTCTGTCGTGAAAAATAATTGATTTTATATTAAAACATTTATATTAAATTTGTCTTCATATTGACTCTTATCTTAAGTATTTTTTTTGTTAATGTAAAGTGCATTACTTATGTTTGTACATGTATTTGCAGAATTTTAAATTAATCGAATAAGATAATTGGCATTGTAAAAATGAGAATAGTACTTGAAAACAGAAGCCTGCGACCCCTGTTATTTCGACTAGCATGTTTTCCTAAATATATCTGCGTGATGTCCACAAATTTGAACATAATAGCGTTGTTAAAACTTTCCTTTAGTATAGCCATAGAAGTATTATATTGTCAATACAGAACTTTCATGATATTAGTAATATTGTTTTCCGGGGAGCGCATATTACTCGGTACATTATTGTTTACATTGAATCTGTTGGTCATTTTTGTGTTTTTAGTCGATATGCAATGTAATTTTGGGAAAATATGCTGATTATTTGAGGATAACATTATTCAAATTCATTAGTCTGTGCTTTGATTGACTTCTATCTAAGAATTTTCAAGTAATATTGAACTGTAAAAAGTAAAATCACAAAAATACTGAACTCCGAGGAAAATTCAAAAAGGAGAGTCCCCAATCAAATTGCAAAATCAAAAAAACACATCAAACGAATGGATAACAACTGTCATATTCCTGACTTGGTACAGGCATTTTCTTATGTAGAAAATGGTGGATTAAACCTGGTTTTAAAGCTAGCTAAACCTCTCACTTGTATGACAGTCGCATCAAATTCCATTATACTGACAACGATGTGTGAACAAAACAAACAGACACAATAGGTAAAAATGTCACAAATAGGGGTACAACAGCAACACGTACGAACCCAATCAAAAACTGGGGGTGATATCAGGTGCTTCGGAAGGGTAAGCAGATCCTGCTCCACATGTGGCACTCGTCGTGTTGCTCATGTTATTACAACTGTATAATTATTGTAAGTGTTATTGTCCCGACAAGGAGTCAATACGTATGGAAAGCTTTCGTATACCAAAATCTTCATAATTAATCATAAGTCTTCATTTTTTCGCATTGAAAAGCTCATCTAATACAAAATCTTAATCTGTGTCGTGTGTTTTACTATTTATAAACAAAATGCACCGTTGCAGGGCATCAAGGGTTGACGGCCCTTTTATAGAAAAATGTCTGAAAGAAACTGCGGCTGAAAATTTAGTTAAATTAAAAATCAATATACAATTCTTGGAGTTAAAGAAGATAAAAACCAGAGACTAAATCGAAATGGTGCAAAGTGTTTGTGTATGTGTTTTCAAATTCTATGTTGGCCCTATTTTGTCTTTACGTCGAACGATAGTTTTTAGATATATCACCTTATTGTTCGCTGGCTGATTGTTCTAAATATAACATAATGTAAACAATACTATTAAATCATGGTAAAACGAACATTTCTATTGGTGACTGTTGTGTATTATTTTTGATGATGTATTTATTAGTTTGTTATTACATGAATACATCGATCCATATTTTGATTGTCTATCATTGCACCTTTTTCAACAAAAAATTCATGATACTGAAATAAAAAAGGTTATATATGATATTATATAATCTCAAAACCTTCTTGCTTTTGCTATAGATAGATTATTATTTTTAAACTTATGATACACAATATGCTTCTATAAGATATAACCAGACAATGGATTTAGGGACTTTCCTTTTTGAATTTTCCTCGGAGTTCAGTATTTTTGTGATTTTACTTTTTAATGATATATATTAAAGAAATAATTTCTTCATGTCATCATGGTCATGCTCTATGCTCATTTTAATGCTGGGCGTAAGCGAAAAAAGTGTAAAATAGGGACAAATATAATGCCTACCCATGTTAAAATGAGCATAGATCATGACATTAAGGAATTATTTCGATTCTAATAGGACAAATATAGTATTTTTATGGATCGAAGCGTACGAAAATAACTTAAAAATGTTTGGCTGTTCTCGTTTCCTCCCCGTGGAGTCTGTACATTACATTTTCTTATTCAATGTTTTTAAAAACTAAAAACGGGGTAATATATGTTGTTTGATCAACAATATATGATAAAAGTTTATGTAAGCAGCTAAAATGTATATATTTTATAAGAATAACAATGAAAATAACGAAAATATAAACAGTAAATTTGTGCGCATGTGTCAAACAAATTTTGTGCTAATTAAAACACGGCTTTGTTTTCAAAGCGTTATAAAGACGTCATATAAGAATTTTGAATAATTATCATAATCTTATATATTTGTCCTTTTTCGTCATTTTATTTTGTATCTTTGAAATTGAATAAATCGAATTTTATATTTTGGAAATTAAGTCATCTTTACAACGAGTATTCATGCAGAACCAAAAAATGTAACAATCATATGTTTGTAATATTGTTTATTTATGGTTATTTGAATTATTACCGAGAGTCAACATTATCTTTACAAACTCAGCACGAAAAGACTGATCTTAGGATAAGAAATATAAATCATGCGTGATAACATTGTGAAAAAGGTTGGCCATGTCTATCTTAATTAAATCTAGGCATCAATTGTGGAACATGTGTATGGCATTGGGGAAAATAGGTTATTCCTGACATTCTAAATGAAAGTGACAGATCCCAGAGAGTTTCTGTTATTGAAAAGTGTACTCCTTGGAAATTCTCTTGTAGATTATATGACAATAAGAGACCTTTTGTTTTTGTTTTAGTTTTGTTTGTTTTTTTAATTATAGAAAATTTTCTACATAAGAAAATGCCTGTACCAAGTCAGGAATATAACAGTTGTTATCCATTCGTTTGATGTGTTTGAGCTTTTGATTTTGCCATTTGATTAGGGACTTTCCTTTTTGAATTTTCCTCGGAGTTCAGTATTTTTTTGTGATTTTACTTTGTATGATATGAGATACTAAAGTTAATAATCTTTATTGTCATATAAACAAATGTTACATGTTTTTGACAAAAACATACATATTTATCTATATGTATATATATAATTCGTCTAAATATCAGCCCAACAATGTTAAATCTATAAATTTGCGGAAGCAAATTTTTTGCTCTTCCGTGGCCAGGATTCGAACTCAAACTACTGAGATATCATAGCACCAAATCGCCTTGCACTGTGCCCGACGTGCTACACCACTCGACCACCTAGGCTCTACAAAACTAAATCTTTCGGTGGCCGGGTGTTACCTTTCCTCCTCAGGTTTAATCTATCGTCGTAACACAGTACATGATATATAAGGCATGAAGATGGAATTTTTACAGATCAGCTGAATTATTTATTGTTAAGGATCTTTAAAATTAATGTAGGATGCAGTCACAGAAATAATTATATTATAAGAACGTCTGAACCAGTGACAACTCTATGACAGATTTTATCCATCGGATCACAAGTGATGGTGATACAAGCCTGAAAACACATTCTGTATATATAATTCGTCTAAATATCAGCCCAAAAATGTTAGATCTATGAATTTGAGGATGCAATTTTTTTTTGTTCTTCCCTGGCCGGGATTCGAACTCGTGCTACTGAGATAGCGTGGCACCAAATCGCCTTGCACTGTGCCCGACGCACTAGACCACTTGACCACCTAGGATCTACAAAATAAAGCTTTCAGTGGCCGGGTGTTACCTTTCCTCATCAGTTTTAATCTAGCATCGTAACACAGTACATCATATATAAGGCATGAAGATTGAATGTTTACAGATCAGCTG